AGGGATGAGGCGGAACATCCAAAAGTAGCTACCAGCTTTCCTCTCTGACAGGAGCATTCAGGTTCGAGTCGGAGAAGCGAACTCACCAGTGGAAACTATTGCTAATGTGGTGCCACAAGGCTCAGTCCTGGGCCCACTCCTGTTCTTGCCCCACATTAATGATCCTCCTGAGGCAGTTGGCTCGCCTAATCTTAAATTTGCATACGACGTCAAGGTTGTTGGATCAGACGGGAGAGTAGAATGAGAGGTGAAGTGCCGAAGTGGTACAGTACATGGGATTTGCTCCTTAACATAGGGAAGAGCCATGTCTTGACCACTCGAGACGAGGGGCTGGTCGTGGGGAGCTGATGCGGCGGTCTTTCACTAGGAACGACGTAGAAGGCTTTAGAATCAGGAAGTTACAGCGGACTACAAATGGGCAGAACAGTGTGCCACAGCGGTGCACCGCTCCGTAGAGAGCTTTTTAGATTGCGGTTGGCACTAAAATTTAGGAGACCGCAGGTATTTGGACCCCTATACAAGACCATTGTTCGACCGCATCTGGATTATTGTATACAGGTCTGGGCTCCCTTCTTTAAAATGGACGCCGCTGGTTTCGAGGGGATCCAAATATTATCCACAAGGATGATCGAAGGATAGGGAGGGAAGCCGTATAGGTGAACTGCAGTATCTTGAACTCTTCGCCTTGGAAAGACGAAGACTCTGAGGTGACTTGATAGAGATATTCAAAATTATAAATGGCCTATTAAGGAGGATCAGGAAGTGTTCTTCGGGGGGATGTAAAGCAACCCTATGGGGCACATGTATAAACTGAAGCAGTTGCGCACGAGCTTAGCGGTGCGCTCAAACTTCTTCAGCAACAGGGTAGTCAACTCATGGAATAAGTTATCACAGGAGCTGGTGGAGCTAGCAAGCGTAAATGCTTTCATGAAGGAGCTCANTCGGCGTTGACGGCCTGCCGATAAGTATTCTTGCGGATTTCAAATAGCGCGTGACCTCCTGGTGTCTAGTTGCCCGAGGTAGACAAAAACACTCGTGATGTTCGCAGACGTTTATTGGGGTATCGTGGTACTAGAAAAAACAATGCAAAAAAACAATGCAAGCAAATACATGCAGGAGCAAAGCGAAAGCGTATCACACGTGTTAGGTGGGTTCGAACAGGACCCAGCTTATTTATACACCTGAGCGGAAAACCGTGCTCAGTAAAACGCAGGCAGTGTAGTAAAACACAAAGAACCATCACAGTTGGCGTTTAAGTTGATTGTGAAGAAAATATGAACGGAGAAAGTCTTCTTGGATTGCTCCTTTTCTTCGTGCTATCATAGTTACTACACTTATTTCCCGAACTAGATGCGTAAGATCAGACCTCAAATCAATTTTCGGTGTTTTCGTTTACTATACCCGAACAAGGGAACGCTTCTGAATGTGAGCTGTCTCGTGTGAACAAGGAAAGAAAATATTTTTCTTTTCCCACTCTTCCGTTGCGGAGGCGGAAACGACTGGAACGAGCAGAAAAAGTGAAGAACCACAATATAAAACATTCACAGTGCTAGGGGCCAACACGTGGCATGATACCAGAGGAATTCTGGACACTTGATTGGTCGTGGCCATCTCCGGTTCTGTGCAATTTGACCCAGCTTGACCTGGCCTGAACTTTGTTTTAACGTTTGAAAGAAGCGTATATTCCAGGTGGAATTTCATATATTGGCAACATCAACTCAATATTATCAGTTAAAGCTTTTCGGTATAAATGTCATTGAAGGACCAAGAGTTTTGGGTAAATGTGCTAAATAATAAGGAAATAAATTTTAGGCAAACCTATTCTATTTTATTCGCGAGGGCTTTCCGCATCATGCGCTTAATCTTGTAGAGTCTGTCCAAAAGCGATATCCAAATGACCCATTCGTCACTCTGCACATCGCGGTTGCTCTGGGAAATGAAGGTTTGTATGTTTCACATACTTCATTCCTGCAGGTAAAATGCAAGAAAGCATTAAGTGCTTATCGGAAATTAAAGAGAACGACGAATATGCCTTAGCGGCATATGTGTGCCTCGTTATAATGAATAAACGTTTAAAAAATGCAGGTATTTATTATTTTCCAACAATAAACTTTCTAGATCCGACTACCGTCAAGGAATATGAAGCAAAAATTAGAGAACTCAGGCGCCACGCACCTGACATGGTAAAGATTTCATGTGCATTAAGGAGATTAATGCTGATTTCTAGTCATTATACTATGCAGCAATGTGTCTTTTTCTCTGCCATAAATACGACAAAGCTAGAGATTATGGAGAGCGTGCCTTGAAGGCTAATCTACTTTCCCGCGAAGTTTGTTGTGATATCGACTAAAATAACATCTGGTATTACAGATACTGTCGCTTAACGGCTGGATTGATTTAATGAGTAACGACGAACTAATGCAGAAGAAAGCAATTCGCTACTTCGAAGAACCAACAAAGTAATACAAATCCTAATTTCATACATTATTTAGTGACGAAGAAGCGATGTATCTGGAGTGCCTTATGGGAAAGGTGAAATATTTTCAAATCGGCAACTCCATTCCATCTGCTTTGGATACCTTAAATATAGCTATTGTTCATTTCCCAACCTTTCTTCCTGCATTGATTGAAAAAATGAAATTGCAATTAGCGATCCAAGACTGGGAGCAAGCACTAGACACTTCTCAACGGTAAGTTCCCGAATTAATTTTAGAAAAACGTCATTTTCTCACAGGTGCATAGCTATTGAGCATAGTTGCATTGATGCTATAAGCTTTCAATTACTTTACTACTTGTGCAAGGTTGGAGATCACAGCGAGGTACGTTGACAAAAATAACAGCAAATATTATTTGATTTAGGGGAGGAGAAAAGTGAATGAATTAGTCGTTGCGCTGGAGAATTCCGAACCATTCTTCCCGCATATTTATTTGAAAACCTCTAGATTGTTTTCAACATTGGTAAGAAAATTGTAATACTGAAAATTGTTCCACTGATGAATTTTATGGTTCTTAGAGATTGGAGCAAACGACATCCAAAAATACTGATTATTTAGTTAGACTCATGAAAATACCCAAAAATACCCAAATAAAAACCGATATTATGGTGAAAACGTTTTCAGAAAACACAGGCTTTAATGTTGTGCTATGTAACACGAAAGTCTTCTATGTCATAATATAGCAGTTTTCCTGCATTTTTTGTGAGTTTCTGACCTACGGAAAGATTTGTTTGGAGAATCCTTATTTGGGCGAGTGCTCTACAACAAAATCCCTAAATTAGTTTGGAAAGACCAAAACGTTATGTTTGATTTACCATACTAACTCATCTAACACTTACATTTACGTCCGCATTGGTCTAAACCATGGCTCATGACCTACACTGTAATGGCTCAATTTAAGCTCTTCGGCCATGGACTAATTCTTATTGGTTAATCAGTCTGAAACTGCTTGAGGTGTTTATATTTAAAATAATAATCCCGAAAGGCTTGAACTTAATTAAGATGTCTGTGAAGATGAAATTAAGAAATGAGAATTTACCATTTCAATTTTTGTGAAGATTTTTCCCGATATAGCTTTAGTTTTCAGTCTTTACAATCACTAACCATGAACTTTCGTGCGGCCGTGTTGTTGCAATCGCTAACCTGTCCTTTTGGATAAAAAGGAAGATGGAGGATTAGAATGTTATGAGTGAAGTCAAAGACAAGATAGATAATTCAAATAGAACAAGATTGCAAGAATCATAAGTAGAAAAACAAACGCTACTGTCTATGACATTAAGTCATGTCCCTAATTTGACTCTACCTATCCATTATGATGAAACCCAAGGTTTTCATTTAGAAGGCTTTTAACATAAATCTTTTTTGAACGCAAAACAAAGAATCGCAAAGTTAAAGGGTGCATTTTTAAAATAACTTTGCTGAACATAAACTAATGATATTTGCGAGAAATAGATTAATATCTCAAGGAATACTAATCCAAAATAACGGTGAGGAAAAAGTCTGATGTTTAGCCCCAGTGCATAGCCAAATGAAAGTAAAAGTTAAAATATTATGATGAATTGGGCTAATCTGATGGTATGTATGAGACTATTTTGGCTAACCTTTATTATAAATCAGTGTTATTTGAGATAGAAATCTATTTTTCTCCCGCAAACATCGATTGAGATTGAGCGGTGTGAATCCTAATATACACCATACAACCTGGAGTTTCTGTGATTGTATTTAAAGTTCTCTCCAAAAAGGAAGTTTCAAAGAATATTGTCTGATAAACCAGAAAAATACAGAGTGACAGATCAAAGGTAACAAATACGTTTAGTATTCAGACTATATTTCGGAATATGGTTACTGAGATGAAAATGCATTGTTTAAGATGTGTATGTGTGTGACAGAGTGTTATCTGACGGAAGAGCTGATTGATTAGCTCAGCAAGTGTAGTTGGGTTATGTAACTGTAATAGACTGATTTAAAATTAACTAGCCCTTAGTGATGGAGAAAAAAGTGTTTTGAACCCCAAACTAAACGTTAGTAGTAGAAAATCTTGAGGAACACAAAATGGCACATACTAATAAAGGGTCCCAGTAAGACTGAAAATGTTTATTACTCTTTGTAAATTCTTAAAAAGCTCTTTTGAAAATGAAGTGTATAAATTATGTGCCAAATAAGTTAATTCTAAAAACGCGAGATCTATACAAAAACAACCATGTACAGGTTCAAATGACTGTGGACTCACGAAAAAAATTAAAACATATTCACTTAATTATGTTCAAATTGGAATACAGTAAAACAGCTCAAGGGCGAACGGTGAGACAAAACAGAGAGCCTTTACATCAAGTGATGCAATGAAGCAAAACTCATTAAAGTAGCAAGCGTTGGAAAAACTAGTGCATCAGGCGCGACTTTCTAAAGGTAGTGTTAATGCTTAAAGACCAAGTTAGATATTGGATACAATAAATGTCAAGGTGTTGTACGTAACCCACATTAAGAATAATACGGTCACCAATAAAAAATAACTTCCAAGAAATGATGGTTCTTTTCGTGTCAGAGAATTGAGTACCGAACCATATGGAAAATAATTAAGTCTGATAAACGTCCTGAGGTACAGTGTGCAATCTATTTTGAAAACAACCAAGAGCTTCGGCGAGTTCAAGTCCCAGAAAAATGCTTGGTATTTTCAAAGTTGTAAATAAGGAAAAATAAACTATTTATACTTTATTCAGCACAGCAATTATTCTTTTTGCTCAATGGATTTCAGTGATTTATCTTTGAAAAGTGGTACATATATAGAGATACAGAGGTGAAATCTTTGGTATTATACTTGAATGTTTCTCTTCTTACCATCAGAATTGTTAAAATTGTCTTTTGTCAAACAAAAAGAGAGAAACACACATGTTAGTTTGAGAACTCCATTTGGTTAACTTCTAATTTTCCATCATAATTACCCTATAATCCTTCGTTAATCTTCTTAATTGAATATAGTGTGGCCGTGATCAAACTATACTGCAAAACTTATCTCACCTGGCAGAAAAAGGATCAACTTTGGCCCCGAACGACCAACAATATGCAGTCAATATGGGTCGTATTTTGTTGCTTCAAAATCGTCCAAAGGAGGCAACGCGACATTTCCAAATGACTTTGGAGGCGAGTGATTCGAGTGTGACAGGATTACAAGGTTAGTGTTTCGTCGAAGCAAATGTCTATTTTTAATGCTAAAAAGTCAAACTGACATTTCCCTGGGGTTTATGCCTACTTATTGCAGTGTCGTACTCATACGTAATCACCCGGGAGGTCCAATATCTAATTCTCATCAAACTTTCCCATCATTAATACTTGATATATTCCAACTGCAGCCATTTGATTACCCGAAATTTCGTCGCACACATGTGTGCTTAAAAAGAAACAACGAATATCCTTTATAATGTTTGAACAATCTTGTTTGCATTGTTACTGTAATTCCATCGTTAGTATTGTTTTTGAATGGACAGCGTTTACTTTTTCACAAAAAACAGGCATTTTCTTTGCCAATCATCCATGTTAACCAGTGAGAAATCAATCTCGTATGTATTTCCAACAGATGTAAAAACAATTAATCACTGTTCAATCGTGCATTTGCATTATTATTTGATTAGTGCAAGAAAGGCGTTGTATAGCACAAAGTTAACTGTATTGAACCATATAGTCTAATTTCAGAGATGACACAGAAGCTTAGACTTTATAGGTGGCCGCGAGTAAAACCTACACTGTTTAGGCTTCCGAATAAAGTCTTTCAGTTTGCATTGGAAAACTATAAGTTATTGTAAATTGGAAACTAGATTCACCTTAGTTGTTTTATTTGGCCATATTTACTTGAATTTTCAAGAAAGGTCTAAACTGACAGAGGGCATCGATTGAAGTTAACGCTTAACATACAGTCAACTAATGACTACATGTCTCTGGAGACCACATTCGAAAAAAGTTGAAGTGGTGATTCTGGCCAGCCTGGGTGTAGTACCGTTAGCACAGTGGTATTCCACACGCATTCCAGGCCATGGTTCCAGTATTCAAATCCAAGATGGGACAATGAATATATGCTACTGATGACGTGTAAAGAAGTAAATGTTCTCTTTATCTTTTTCGGCCCGTATGGTTCACCAGATAAACTGAGGTTTAAGCGTGCAGATTGAGTCTGAAGAATCACACATTACATTAAAAACACATATCCAGAAAAAGTTATCTTGGTTCAATATTAAAATTTGTGGAACAAATTTATGGAATTGATGATTTTCTAGGGGACTGATTTAGAGCATTGTCAGAATTTACCATTTAAAACAGATAATTACATGAGAACGGTTTTGTGATCACCTTATTATTTTTACGCACAAATTTGAATTCAAAGACACCGGGTTTGTATATTTACGTGTGCCTCAAAGCTAAAAAGTTTTAGCTATCCATTCGAGAATACGATCATACACAAGTTACAAAGTAGTGAGCACCACTGAAGAGTCCAAAAACGAAGGAACTGCTGATCAGCGCTATTTTTTGCCACTACAGTATAAAAGAAATTAATTATTTTCCTCTGTATTTGTTCCCATTACTAAACATCAATGAACAAAGTAATAATTTCTATACATGAAGGTAGTTGACGCTGATATTCTACAAGTCAGCGAGCAAGTTTTCTATTCAAATTCAAATAAGATTTATAAATTTGTTTGGTGAATTTTTATTTTATGGTTAATGGTCATGCAAAGTGAAAAAAATAACTAAATTTTAATCTATCCATTTAATTGTTTTCGTGAAATTGCATCTACTTTTGTGGTCAAAGAGCTTTTCTATTACCGATTGGTCGTCAGAATAGCAATGTTTTGCATTAGAGCGAATTAGCAGCAGGCTAATCATGGAAAAACAGTCAAACCGCTTGCATTTTTCTCAATGTCCATTGGAACCCGTTACAGAACTCTTTCAAGGGCATTCGATTAGATTGGTTAAATTGGTTGCAAAAGTAACAGCGGGCGAGTAATAAAAAATCACCCAAATATGACACTCAAAATGATACCCGATTACTTCAGTATGGTTCAATAAATTTACGGTTCAGAACTGCACTGCACTGAGCTTGATTCTTTGACATTTTATTCATGAGTTTACTTTATTCTTCAATACCTCCCCATCAGGAATCATTCAGTGTCAACTTATTCAAGGTCAGTTGGCTGAAGCGGGAACACAGCTTGAATTTCTTCGTGAATTGGAACCAACAATAGGGAAATCTGTCGTAAGTGAATTGATAAAGATTGGCGTTTTGACTAGTAGTCAAGTGGTTACCATTCCAACAAGTAGTTGTTCTATCTTATTACTGGAATGATCAGTTTTTGATTGGTATGATTGAGAGATCATCATTAAATTTTAGTAAATCACTCTCACTGGGGAAGTAATAGAGG